AATAGTTTCAGTGAGAAAGAGCACCAGCCCTGGGAGCTCGTCACGGCTTACACTGGTATTAACAGCAGTGAGTCAAGCCGGTGAAAGGCCAAGGCAAATCCTCTGTCAGAGCAGGGCTAGAGCAAGACTGGAAGAGCAGGAGAGGAGACAAGTGGAGTCCTGTAGCGTAGTGGTTAGTGCACTCGCCTCGCAAGCAAGAGGACCCAGGTTGGATTCCCGGCTGGGCGAGTAAGGGCAAGTTTCCTTACTCCACAAGCCTCCGTTTACCGAGCAGTAAGTAGGAACCTGGTTGTTAGTCGATTGGCAGATCGCTTTCTGGGGAAATGGTTGATAATATCCAAGATCAGCAGTGGTGATGTGGTGCAATGTACAGTGTGCAATGTCTAATGGACAGATACTTGTCTAATAAACACTGCAGATTTCATACAGAGGGCAGAAAGCAGTGATGAGGAATGAAACCAGGTAAGGAGGAGGGGTTGGTGGGGGCACTGTCAGGTGGACTGGGATCATTCTGGTCAGTGGAACAAAAGATTAGGTCACGTGAGGCGAACTTAGTGATGTGGCGTTAACTAATGAAAACAATCCTCAGGGATTTAACATGCGCCCACCCCTTTAGTACACCTGAGCCTGTGTCCTTGGTCTCACAGCTCTGGGATTCTCATCAAATTTGTTACGTTTCCAATGTATGACATCAACTGGAAAAAGCGCAGAAAGCAAGACCTTAAGCATCTGATAATGAGGAGAGAGAGAGAAAAGGCCAGATTTTGAGCTCACAGTCCTGCTGTGGGAGGGGGGGTGGGGAGCTCTGTATCATCAGAGTTCCCGTCCTTAAAGCAAGATGGCAAACCGAGGTCCCATCTGTGCCTATTCAGGTGGATGTTAAAGATCCTGTGACACTGCTGGAGAAGAGGAAGGAGTTCCTCCTGGTGTCCTGGCCAACAATCATTCACTTCATGGCTGTTTGTGGAGCATTGCTGTGTGCATATTGGCTGCCGTGTTTCACCCACAAAATATACAGTCACCACACTCTACAATATATCTTGCGAAACGCTTGAGACAGCTCGATAATGTGATAAGGCAGTATATCAAAAGCAAGGAATACTATTATTAATAACCTTGGGGAAAAAAACTGTTAAATAATACAGTTAACTGACACATCGCTACAAAGGCTGTGATGTTCTAACAGACAACGGGACTGCATTGCCTCATAATAACTGCGACTCTTTCCTAATTGGATTTGGGATTGAATTTGCTGCAACCAGTAAACGGAGACTCTTGCTGTGTGTGCACAGCTCTGCTCCAGTCTGCTGAGTCAGGCTGCGATGCTGTGTGAAAGCCAACTCTGCGCTGCCCTGACTGCCTGAAGGGCAAATGCTAACCCACCCTCGCTCACACCATGCCCTGTGCTGCACAGGCTGAGTCCAGCAAAGCCCCACACAGTAACTGCAGTGGGGAGGGAGGGTGTACAGAGGGTTACTGGCTCAGAGTGACGGCCACCTGAGTTACAGGGTGTGTGGAGCCAGAGAGGAGAGAGGTAATTACAAGTTGTTGTTGTTGTTGTGGTCAAGACGCTGAGGCTATTTACGAAGAGATCAGGAGGAATGAGGAAAATAATGGGTGAAAGGATCTTTCTCACTCAAACCTCTGTATGCACTTGTGCGTGACCATGTGTGTTTGTGTGTGTGCATGCGTGTGTTGTATGTACATGCGTGTGTCTTGTGTGTGCATGTGCATGTGTGAGACCTTGAGAAAGGTTGATGTTTGGGGTCTAACCCTTAAGCAGATTTTTCAGCTTTATGGGTTGGGGAACCAAAGAGAAGGGAGTCTCTCTCCTGGTGTTTCTGGCCAACAATCCCCCAAATAAAAAGAATTGGTCACTAACCCCACGGCTATCTGAGGGAAGTTACTGTGAACAAAATTGGCTGCCGAGTTTACCCATAAAACATACCCCGTCACACACATAAAACCATTTACAGGATATCTCTGTGAGGCACTTTGAGACACTGGGATGATGTGATAAGTCACTGTATAAAATTTCACGATTATTACTATTATATGAAACCCCCAATGTAATTGACCCACCTGGGTAGATGTTTGTCAGGTCAGGGTATCAAGGGATACGGGGCAAGGGCGGGTAACTGGAGTTGAGGTACAGATCAGCTATGATCTAATAGAATGGCAGAACAGGCTCGAGGGGCTGAACAGCCTACTCCTGTTCCTATCTTCCATGGGCAACCATGTAGATGGGAGACGTGGCAGAGGAGCTCAGACTGACACTCTTAACACACAAGGTTAGAGAAAGACTATAAATAAATAGTGAAGAGGAACAGTGAGGTCTCATTAATCTGCTTGTCATGTTCCCAGTTGCTGTCGACCTACTTTAGCTCGCATCCTGTGTATGTACTATAGATGCCCCCTACTCTCCTCCCCTGGCGATCACACGAGCCTGGCTCATGTCTGCAGTAACCCCCTCTCCCCCCCTTGTTCGGATTCTGTTTCTTCACCGATTACAAGATTAGAAACTTACAACACAGAAGAAGGCCATTTGGCCCATCATGTCTGTGCCGGGCTTAGTTAGTAACAATGCAAAACAAACACCACACAGGCCAGAGTGTTATATACAGGCTAACACACAGGCCGGAGTGTTATGTACAGGCTAACACACAGGCCAGAGTGTTATATACAGGCTAACACACAGGCCGGAGGTGCTATCTTTCGGATGAGACACTTAAACAAAATAGTGAGGTCCTGTTTGCCTGTGCAGCTGGATGTTAAAGTTCCCGTGGCACTATTTAAAAAGAGAAAGGAGTTTAGCACCTTATCACATCGTTGCGACATCTCAAAGCGCTTCACAGAATATATTGTAAAGTGTAGTGACTGTATATTTTGTGGGGGAAATGCGACAGCCAATTGCTCACAGCAGCGTCCCCACAAACAGTCGGGGATTGAGTGACCACATTTTATGGAGGGATTATTAGTCCCAGAAAGTGATCCGCCAATCGACTAACAACCGGGTTCCTATTGAACACCAGGTAAACAGAGGTGTGTGGAGTAAGGAAACTTGCCTAAGGTTTTGCTCCTGCCTGAACAAATAGACAGAATGTGAGAGACAAATGATAAAATAAATGAGGTTCACTGTTGTCTTTATAAAACAGCCACAAACACCAATTAGCATTGAATAACAAGACAATACAGGGTTGACTCTTCTTTTGTGAGCCCGAAGCTGGTAAACTGTGAGCTGCAGTGTAATTGGAGATGGTAATTAATGGTTAGGGCAAGTGGTCACCGGGAGACTGCCATCTGCTCACCTATTATTTCAAACATTAATTAAGTTTGTGCTTAACAAATTCAAACCAGCCGAGTGCTGGGGATTCCAGGATTACACCTGAAGTCACACAGCTGGGCTGTCTCAACCCACCCTCCCAATCAACTGTAAATCCCTGTTGTGCTCGGAGCTGGAGAGGAAATAAATAACAGGGAGATTTACGTTTGATAATAATCCTGACATTTGATACAGCATCCTTCACAACGGGAGGGAGGACGTTTGAAACCTCTTTGTGGGATTACAGTGACCTTTATACTCTGATCACCTCTTTTTACCCCAGAATAAAAGGTGACCATTTATCCTCAAGGAGAAAGTCCGGGTCAGCCATGCTCTGGCCAGAGGGTGATAAAGTGTGGGGTCATAGCCTTGAGCTCACAAACCAGACTGAAACTCGCTCCCCCCGTCTGTGCCCCGTCTGGGTTCCCTGAACCGTTCAGGCGGACATTAAAGACCCTGTAAGTCTCATGGGAGAGGAGTTGGTAGTTTCGCTCTCGGTGTCCTGGCCGACAATATGAATCGGTCACAAAAACAGAAGTTGCCGGGAATCCTCAGCAGGTCAGGCAGCATCTATGGAGAAAGGAAAGTGAGTCCACGTTTTGGGTCCGCGACCCTTCGTCGGAATATGAATCGGTGGTTTGCTTCGAGACTGTTGGTGGGAATCTGCTGTGCGCAAGTGGCTGCCTTGTTTTGCCCACAAAAATGGCTGTTAGACTTGAGAACAATTCCCCTAAACTAAACGCTTCAGTTTGTGAAGGATGATGCCACCGGGCAATAAGATTCAAGTTCTCTCTTTGGGGAAAGGGGAACTCGCTAACGAAAGAAGTGGTTGAAGCAGATCGTGTGGGGGTGTTAAAGAGGAAGCTGGATATATACATGAGGGAGAGGGGAATGGAAAGCTATGGGAGGGAATAAGGAATGGGAGGAGACTCATGGAGTATAAACATCATCACGGAAGGGTTGGGCGAATGGCCTGTTTCCGTGCTCTACAGTCTGTGTAAATCGTTCTCGCGGGCCAGGCTGGTGTCTCTCAGTGCGGAGAAGGAGGAGCAGAAAGCCATCAGTAAAGGCTCATTTGCCACCATCTTCGGAAATCTTCGCTGAAACCAAACAACACACGCTGGCCGGCAAAGCTGCTCAGTGGACGGGCAATCGCAAAGATTAGGGCATTTTGGGAAGACATTAATCGCCTGGGGAGGGACATCGCTGCGTGATTTAATGAGGAGCTGGGTGACTATCTGGGGGAGAATGGGGCTCAAGGTTAGAAGGAGAAGCAAAGAGAACGCAAGAGAGATAATCATACGCTTTATAAAAGATTAATGCCTTCAGTCCTTGGCACATAAAAACGCCTCCCTGGAATTGAGTTAGTGCGAGTGAGTAACATCAGCTGTCAGCTTGTTGTGGAGCTTGACTGGAGTAATACAGCAGCCACACACACGCACAGCTCTCTCCCTCAAGTGCTGACAGTGAACAAGAGTGATAAAGTGGGAGAGACTGGGACAGGACATGCCGGGGGAATGGAGGGGGATGGGGGTTGGTCAGGGGTGGGGGGTGTTGGGGGCATGGGTTTGAGCTGTGACCAGCTCACCTCTGGGCAGTCCTTGCTCACCACCGGCCCGCACACTGCAGCATGGTAGCTCATTCCGTTTTCTCTGCTTCTCTCCCCCTCTCACAACAGGCTCTAACCTTACGGACACGTCAGGGAGAAGAAGTGACGAGGCTGAGTCCTAGTCACCGGCTGCAAAAAGGCTCTCTTCATTTCCTGTCTCTTCAAAACGCCGGTGCTGACTTCGCTGCAATAGACGCCCGTGGCCTTTCCTAAACTGGGTCTTCCCAGGAGAACGGCTGAAGATTTCAGGACTGAGCTCAGAGCGGGGCGGAGGGGGTGGGGGCGGGAGCTGAGGCCAGGAGTATGTGTGTGTAGCTCGGGAAAGGCCGGACGAGCGCGGGCTGGGCACGAACGTGATGGACGACGGTTTTGGGAACAATTTCTTCGAGGGAGCCAAGGAGATCGCCAACGAAGCCAAGCGACAGGGCAGGATGCAGGATCCCTGGACACAATACGAGGCGGGGGGCAACGAGATGCCCCCCCAGGATGGGGGTTACCCCCGCACCCAGGAGGACGGGGACAGCGACGCCACGGAGGGGCACGACGAAGATGACGAGATCTACGAGGGGGAATATCAGGGGATCCCTCACCCCGATGACATCAAGGCCAGTCGCATGGCGGCCACACAGCCAATCCCGGATGAGCTGAGGGACCGGGAGGACCTGATGGCGGAGCGGGTACAGGATGAGGAGCAGCTCGCACATCAGTACGAGGCCATCATCGAGGAGTGCGGGCACGGGCGCTTTCAGTGGACGCTCTTCTTCGTGCTGGGGATGGCGCTGATGGCTGACGGGGTGGAAGTCTTTGTGGTGGGCTTTGTGCTGCCCAGTGCCGAGAGAGACATGTGCATGTCCAACTCTAACAAGGGCATGCTGGGTAAGTGCCCCGGGGGGAGTCCGCAGGGCCTCTCCGGGGCTGAACTGGCGACAAGTTTGTCAACAGAATGTGGGAATCGAGCCCCCCCACCCCCCCACCACCCCGTGACTGTCTCATTTGCCCCAAATGGTCATTGTTGGCGTGTTGGAGCCACTCTCCCCACCCCCCACTCTCCCCACCCCCCACTCTCCCCACCCCCCACCCCCACCCCCCCCCCCACCACCACATTAGTGGGGCATCAAGGCTTTTAGGTGCTGGAGAGTTAATATATTTTTTAAAGAGAATAACGTTTTTGAGATGATTTGTGCAGGTGACACACTGAAAGGAAGCAAACAATTGGCTTTTAACCTAGCGCCTCATCACATCACAAACTCACCTCACCGGCAATTACTGACATGTGTAGTGACTGTTTCGTTGACAGGGAGTGAGCGAGCGAGTATCAATCCTCGGGTCACTGTGAGGGCAGAGCTGGGGGATGGTTCCTGGTTGCAACTCAGAGCTTTTTAGCTAATGGAAAGTGTCCATTAAAGCCCCAGTATTGACTCGAGTAGATGTATCCTGGGTTTGGCAGTCGATTGAGCAAAGCGTCTTCATTAAAAGAGCAAAGTGCTGACACTGCCTCCCAGTCAATCATAATAATCCTTACATTTGATATAGCTCCTTATCACGTTGTCAAGACGTCTCAAAGTGCTTCACAGAGCTCACTGTAAAGTGTAGTGACTGTACATTTTGTGGAGGAAACGTGGCAGCCAATTGCACACAGCGATGTCCTACCAACAGTGGTGGATTGAGTGACCTGAGCTCCTGGTTTGTACTGCCCTCCGCTGGCGAGTATCCAGTATTGCGCTGTTCAGGCAATTCCCTGTCTGTCTCACTGCAGAGGGAAGGTGTAGTAATAATAATAATAATAATAATCCTTGCGGTTGATATAGCGCTTTTCACGTCTTACTTAGGAGAAGCTCTATTCCGCTGGTGACAATGATTTTTAGGAAGAAACAGATCGGCCGAACGGTCAGGACATCAAACTGCTCCAGCAACCATGTGACTGGAGGGTCTGACATTGGTTGGCGGGTTGGGTTCAGTGTTTAACGCTGTATGTTGTGGCTGCCTTATTGCAGTGAGCGGTGTGGGAGCGCTGGGTCAGTGAGGTGTACTGAGGCTGGTGGCTGACTGGCTATGCCTATCCGGCCTCTTCCCGTGTCTTGCAGGTCTGATCGTGTACTTGGGGATGATGGTGGGGGCCATTGTCTGGGGGACTCTGTCAGACAGAATGGGCAGAAGATACTGTCTGATCATCGCCCTGTCCATCAACGGGGTCTTTGTGGTCTTCTCGTCCTTCGCTCAGGGCTACGGACTCTTCCTCTTCTGTCGGCTGCTCTCGGGCATGGGGTAAGTGAGATACCTCTGGGGGGTGACACTGGGAGACACTGGGCACAGAGGAGAGAGGAAATGAAGAAGAGAGACAGTTGTCTCTGAGTTGGTCAGCTCCACTCAATAATAATAATAATAATAATCCTAGCATTTGATATAGCGCCTTATCACATTGTCCATTCAGCCTCTCACGTCTTGAGCCATTAACATCACATTTATTATAAAGGCCGCTTTTCCAGCTCTATCTCTCTCTCTCCCCACATCCCAGTGTTTCACTTCTCTGCTGTAAACAGCATATACAGTTCACTTTTGAAGCCTTGTGTGGATCAGCCTCAGTAGCTGATTTGCAGGACTGAATTCTAAACCCTGAGAAGCCTGTGAGTTCCTCTCTCCTCTCTCCTCTCTCCTCCCCGGCTTCACTTGTCAACATCCTCCTACTTTGCTGGACACTGCTGTGCGCAATTGGCTGCCGTGTTTTGGCCACAAAATATACAGTCAATTCACTTTACTGTATAGTCTGTGAAGCGCTTCGAGACGTCTCGACGACGCGATAAGGTGCGATATCAAATGCAAGGATTATTATTGTTATTATTTGCTACATGTCAGAGACGGTCTGTGAGTCTATGATCCATGTCCCCGGAGCTCTGAAGTTTTTCCTTGCTCTCTCTTTCTCTTTCTCACACATTCTATCTTCCTCTCTCACACTCTCTTCCTCTCTCACACTCTCTTCCTCTCTCACACTCTCTTCCTCTCTCACACTCTCTTCCTCTCACACTCTCTCTTTCTCTCCTCAGTATCGGTGGTTCTATCCCCATCGTGTTCTGCTACTTCACGGAGTTTCTGTCCCGGGAGAAGCGAGGCGAGCACCTGAGCTGGCTGTGTATGTTCTGGATGATTGGGGGTATCTACGCCTCAATGATGGCCTGGAGTATAATCCCACACTACGGTAGGTCCAAACCCACCTCCAGTGCAGCTTCACCTGCACAAACATCTTAACATTAATGTGTAGCCTACATTACCACCTGTCCCAGGCTACACCACAGCAATCCAGCACCCTGGGTGGGGCTAACACACTGGGGGAGGGGCTAACACACAGGGCGGGGCTGACACTGTGGGGCGAACACACTGGGGGAGGGGCTAACACTCCATGGCGCTAACAACAACAACAAGATTCCATTTATAGAGCGCCTTTCACGTCGGGAGGACGTCCCACTGTATGGGGCTAACTGGGTGGGGTAACCCACTGAGCGGGGCTGACACACAGGGCGGGGCTAACACACAGGGCGGGGCTAACACAGGGCAGGGCTAACACACAGGGCGGGGCTAACACACAGGGCGGGGCTAACACACAGGGCGGGGCTAACCCATTGGTGGAGGGATTGTGTAATAGTTTTATAAATACAATATTTGCACTGAGTTATGGTGGTTCTGTCCAGTCCAATAACATTGTCTATCTGACTCTCCCCGGGACCTCAGTAAAGACTGTCTCATGTGTAACGGCTGGTCTGGGGCCTGGGGTAACGGCTGGTCTGGGGCCGGGGGTAACGGCTGGTCTGGGGCCTGGGGTAACGGCTGGTCTGGGGCCTGGGGTAACGGCTGGTCTGGGGCCGGGGGTAACGGCTGGTCTGGGGCCTGGGGTAACGGCTGGTCTGGGGCCTGGGATAACGGCTGGTCGCTATGTGTTTCAGGCTGGGGCTTCACCATGGGGACCTCCTTCCATTTCCACAGCTGGAGGCTCTTTGTGATTGTGTGCACTCTGCCCAGCATCTTGTCTGTCATCGCTCTGATATTCATGCCAGAGAGCCCCCGATACCTCCTGGAGGTGAGTGAGGCCGAGCGAGAGCCTGTAGCTCAGTGGTTAGAGCAGTTGCCTCGCAAGCGAGGGAGCTGGGTTCGATTCCCGTGCAGGGTGAAACGTTGGGTAAGTTTCCTTACTCCACAAGCCTCTGATTTCCTAGCAGTTAGCAGGAATCCGGTTGTTAGTTGATTGGCGGATCGCTTTTCTGGGATAATAATCCCTTCAAAAAAATAAGTAAAATAAATAAATAATGTGGTCACTCGATCCACAACTGTTTGTGGGACAGACGCTGCTGTGCGCAATTGGCCGCCGCATTTCACCCACAAAATATACAGTCAATTCACTTTACAGTGTATCCTGTGAAGCGCTTTGAGACATCTCGAAGATGTGATAGAGCGTTGTATCAAGTGCAGGGATTATTATTATTACTTACTAAGAGATCTGGTTAATCTCGTTCTTCTCAGGTGGGCAAACATGACGAGGCCTGGATGGTTCTTAAGCAGGTTTACGACACCAACATGAGGGCTAAGGGTCACCCAGAAGCTGTCTTCACGGTGAGTCGTCAGCTTGAGGTCAGGGGTTGTGGTCTGCTTTACCTTTGGCTGTTTTTTTATTTGTTAACCTTCCCCCCCACACACCTCTTCTCCCCCTCCCCACTCGCTCTGGCCTGTCAGCCCTTCACATCCACCCGTCACCGACTGCTATAAGGTTCTTGTTGTAACTCCGTCTGTCCAGCGCCTTGGGACATCCTCCCGACATGAAAGATGCTATACAAATGTAATTTTGTTGTTGTTGTTGTTAACTCTACTCCATCCCTCCTGTTCACAACCCTCAGCTCGGATTCAAACCCTTGACTATCCAGCGCTTGGGAAGACTCCCAAGGTGAAAGGCCAGCGCTGGGTAAATGTAATTGGTTTTTGTAGTTTGGGGGAAATCAAAGCTTCTTCCTGATGCGCGGGGGAGGAGAGGGGAGAGAGAGCTTGATGCTCCCTGGGTCAACCCAACCCAGTGTAACCCAGCCCAGCTCAGCCTACCTCAGCCTTACTACAGGAAGAGGACACACAACTTCTTCTGCTGTGATGAGGAATGAGCAGGTAAATGGCGAGAGAGGAACTGTGAGAAGGATGGCGAGTACTGAGCAGATCTCCCTGTTGCCTTTTCAGGTTTCCCACATCAAAACCCCGAAGCAGATCGATGAGTTCATTGAGATCCAGAGTTCCACTGGCACTGCGTTCCAGCGCTGGCTGGTCAGGGGCATGACCGTAGTCAAACAGGTACAAGTGTGGGGCAGGCACTCTATCTGTTTGTACTGACGGAGAATGTAATGTGTGAAAGGGGAAAGACCGGGGAATGGGGTTAGAGTAGAGAGCTCCAGTGGGGGGGAGCGAGCACCAGCACAGACACGATGGGGAGAGAGAGAGCAGGGAATGGGGTTAGAGTAGAGAGCTCCAGTGGGGGGGAGCGAACACCAGCACAGACAAGATGGGGAGAGAGAGAGCAGGGAATGGGGTTAGAGTAGAGAGCTCCAGTGGGGGAGCGAACACCAGCACAGACAAGATGGGGAGAGAGAGAGCAGGGAATGGGGTTAGAGTAGAGAGCTCCAGTGGGGGGGAGCGAGCACCAGCACAGACACGATGGGGAGAGAGAGAGAGCAGGGAATGGGGTTAGAGTAGAGAGCTCCAGTGGGGGAGCGAACACCAGCACAGACACGATGGGGAGGGAGCAGGGAATGGGGTTAGAGTAAATGAGCTCTTGTGGGCAAGCGAGCACCGGCACAGACACAACGTGATGAGGGAGTGTAACCATTATGATCTTGTGAGTAGTATATTATTGGTGAGCAGATGTCCTCATGTGTTGCAGGTGTGGGAGAATATTTTGCAGTGTTTTACGCCCAGGTACAGGATGACCACATTGTTCCTGGCTGTGGTGTGGTTCACTCTGTCCTTCAGGTCAGTGTCTCTCGCTAGCTCTCGACTGCCCTGGCCGGGCGTTTGTGGAGTCCTGTAGCGTAGCGGTTAGAGCACTTGCCTCGCAAGCAAGAGGACCTGGGGTCGATTCCTGGGTCAGGGAGAAACATTAGGCAAGTTTCCTTACTCCCACATGTTTCTGTTACCTAACAGTGAGTAGGAACCTGGTTGTTAGTCGGTTGATGAATCGCTTTTCCGGGGGTAATAATCCCTTAGAAAAAATAATAATTTGGTCACTCAATTCACGACTGTTTGTGGGGACACTGCTGTGCGCAATTGGCTGCCGCGTTTCGCCCACAAAATATAGTCAATTCACTTTACAGTATATTCTTGAAGCGCTTTGAGACGTCTCGAAGACGTGATCAGGCGCTGTATCAAACGTAATGTGTTGTTCTTGTTGTTGTGGCGTTGGTTGCCCTGCCTCCTGCTCACAGCTACTATGGGTTGACGGTGTGGTTCCCGGACATGATCAAGTACTTTCAGAACGAGAATTACCATTCCAAAATGAAGATCTTCCACCAGGAGCACGTGGACCGTTTCACATTCAACTTCACCCTGGAGAATCAGGTCCACACTGACGGCCAGTACATCGACGTCAAGTGAGTGACCAGCGGGGTCAGGCCTGCACAGCACCGAGCCATAGTGCCTTCTGCCTGTGTAACGCAGCCCAGCCTATATGGGGGGGCGGGGGGGTGAGGACTGTGTTTATTTAGTGCTAATTTCCTCTCTGACAGATTTATCGGGATGCACTTTAAGTCGGTGACCTTCAAAGACTCGCTGTTTGAAGATTGCTACTTCGAAGACGTCACGTCCATCAACACCTTCTTCGAGAACTGCACCTTCACCTCCACTATCTTCTACAACACGGGTGAGCGTGGGTCTTCCCTCCCCGTGTCTGTCCTGTGATTGTGCTCCGAGCCTGAACTGGGGCCCCCAGCGCTCAGCTCGGTCAGTGTCACAACACTGGTAGCTGTTGTGGGGGGATTGTTGGCCAGGAGAGAGACTCCCTCTCGCGCCCTCTACCTCAGGGTATTTACCCCGGTCTGAGCTCCCAGGCTCCTCGTCAGCGCTGGCCAGAGAGACACGCCAATCCCCCCCTCCCCCGCCCCCAGCTAACCAATCACGCCACCAGCTCACAAACAGCGCCTCCTGCTGCCCCCGCCTGGTATTTCCCCACTTCCACTTGACTCCTAACGTCTCGTCTCCTCTGCTGCAGATCTGTTCAAGACTCGGTTCATCGACAGCAGGTTCCCTAACAGCACCTTCCTGCACAACAAGGAGGGCTGCACCATCGACTTCAGCGACGATGCTGAGACGGCCTTCCTCACCTACCTGGTCAGCTTCCTGGGCTCCTTGTCTGTGCTGCCAGGCAACATCGTGTCTGCACTATTCATGGACAAAGTGGGGCGGCTCATGATGATTGGTGAGTGGGTCCTCTCCCAGTTTCCGGGATCTCACAATCCCAGGATTCCCTCCCGCCCTCTCTCCCTGCACTCCCAGAACAAGCGCTGTGGGACGCTACGCTGTGTGAGGGGCACTATATAAGTGCAAGTTATTGTTGTTGTTTGTTACGGAATCGCCCTCTAGCTCTTTGAGTGTGTTTCAATTCACTTTCCTCTCTCCACCTCCTCTCTGTTCTCTTCGCACCTCACTGCTCCACACTCTCCCAGTACACAGATGGTTTTAGTGTTTGGAGGCGGGGGGGGGGGGGGGTGGGCGGTGGTGACGGTCCCGTGCTGTACATGTTGCCGGCTGAGTGGAGTTGGGATACTCTGCATGGAGCGAGCGAGTGAGTGAGAGGCGATGGTGAGGGAGAATAACAGTAACGTGTTGTTATTCCTGCTCCACAGGTGGCTCCATGCTCCTGTCCGCCATCACCTGCTTTTTCCTGTTTTTTGGGAACAGCGAGGCGGCTATGATTGGGCTGCAGTGTGTGTTTTGTGGGGTCAGTATCGCAGCCTGGAATGCTCTCGATGTGATCACAGTCGAGCTCTACTCTACAGACAAAAGGTATGTAGCATCCGTGCTCTCTGACATGTGAGGTAGGGTGAAGCCTTATGTAAGTTTCCTTACTCCACACGCCTCTGTTTACCCAGCAGTGAGCAGGAACCCGGTTGTTAGTCAAATGATGGATCACTTTCCGGGGGTAATAATCCCTCCAAAAAACGAAATGTGGTCACTCAACCCAAGACTGTTTGTGGGGCCGCTGCAGTGTGCAATTGGCTGCCACGGTTCGCCCACAAAATATACAGTCAAGCAACTTTACGCTGTATTCTGTGACGTGATTTGAGACGTCTCAAAGATGTGATAAGGCGCTGTATTCTCTCCCGCTTGCCCCTCAGTGTAACTCAGCCTCTGTCTTTCCTCCGCGCAGGGCAACAGCCTTCGGAATTCTGAACGGACTCTCCAAGTTTGCTGCTATCCTGGGAATCTCGATATTTGCCTCGTTTGTGGAGATCACCAAGGTGGTCCCCATCCTGCTGGCCTCCCTCGCGCTGGTGGCAGGAGCTCTCCTCGGCCTCCGCCTGCCAGAAACCCGGGAGCAGGCTCTGATGTGAGGGACTCCTCCCCTGCTCCCCCCCCCTCCCTCCCCTCACTCTGCGGTGAGGAGCCCCCCATCCCTCCCCACACCCCCACCCTAGTGAGAGGGCACCCACTCGCTTCCTTCTGCACAGCTGTTGACACCAGCTGCCCTCACAGCCTCTATACCCCCCCTCCTCCCCCCCACCCCCCCAGCACTCACTCTGTGTCCCCGCTCTCATATAAAGGGTAGTTTGTGGGAATCTGGAACTCTCTCCCTACCCCACAAGGCTGTGAATAGTGGATCCATTGAAAATTCAAGACTGAGGTGGATAGATGTTTGTTAGAGAAAGGATATCAAGGGATACGGGGCAAAGGGGGGGTAAATGGAGTTGAGGCACAGATCAGCCATGATCTGATAGAATAGGGGAACAGGCTTGAGGGGCTGAATGGCCTTCTCCTGTTCCTATGACACTATGTTCCTAATGGCCATACTTCTCCCCCTCTGTGCACACAGCAGTGTGTCTGGGGTGTGTCTGGAGAGACCGAAACACGGGCAACGTCTTCATTGTCATACCTCGAGAAACTCAAATTCTGTGTCCTTTTTGTTTCCGCTTGTACTCTCCTGTTTGCCCGTGTCCTTACCCACCACGTGTGCAGTTAAGCAGTCACTCGCTCAATCAGTGCAGTCATTCCAGACAAACAGCTGAGCATTAGAGGAGAGAGAGAGAGAGAAGGAAAGTAGGGTTCATAAAAAGGGGGCGATTTATAAAAACAAATAATATTGTAATATTCCCAATTTCGGGAATGGATTCCATTCCCCAGTGTTCATCAAGTGCCCAAAATTGTCTCCTTCTTGATAAATGGAAAGTGGGGGAGGGGAGGGGGTAAAGGGAAGGTTGTGTGTGATGGTGAGATCCAAGCTGTGATTGACATAATACCATCGGACAGTCTGTTTGTGTGTTGTACGTCTGGAGTAGCCTGGAGATCCAGCTTCAGTAAAACTCGCATAAGTCTGATCTGTGTAAATCGTATAACCGTTTGAGTCGTACATCTGCCCACGTCCTGTAGAATTTTCCATAACTTACACGGGTTTCACATAACTCATGCTTTGCATAAGTCATATTAAATGCGTGGTCCCAACTGACTTTCGTGAGTGAGGTTCACTGTAGTTGTATCTGAGGAGAGTGAAGGAGAAGGGGGTGAAGTTCACAGAGGCCACCATCGGGTAATAGTGTGGCTGTGTGTTACAGCTGTGAGCTCAGTCCTATCACAGGATGTCACAAGGCAGTTAAATGTCAGACTCTGAGCCCCATATAAACAGCATCACAATAAACTGCTGCTCTCAGGACCTGACATGTGTCATGATATTCATACAAATGCTTTTCGCCCGGGCGGGGGGTTGGGGGGAATTTGGATTCATGAGTTTTTTAAACCCACTGCTTGTGTTCATTAGCACAAGGAACGTGTTAAGAAGGTTTGACCTGTAGTCCCTTCCCAATGGGTCGGAGGGCACTTGTCAGTCACACACTGTCCAGAATGTGTTAATATCCTGCAGCCCCCCACCCACCCCCACTTAATCTCCTCACGCCAGGCGTTAATCCGCCAATATTGACCAACTGCCAGTCCCCGCCATACTCACCAATTTGCCGGTGGTTCTGTCACTGCCCCCAGTTCAGAGATTTGCTCTGTATCTGCGCATTAAATATTAATGTATATTAATAGAGAAATGTAATGGTGATGGAGACGTTGCTCTGGTTGGAGCTCAGGGAATTGCTCTCTGTCGCCCTCCGGTGGACAGGATTGGGAGCAGCCAAGAGGGACGCGGATTAGATTAGAAGGAGAAGGGAAAGTCACCCAAACACTCCGCACAAAGGCTTTAAAATAATGTGCAAACTGCACCTGTAATCCCCCCGACACCGCTGCCACTCCCGGTTTATTCTATGAGGAGGTTTTGACTTTTAACCTGAAGCCTGAAATTCCACCCAGTCTTGGCCTCTCAACAACAACTTGCATTTGTGCAGCGCCTTTCCTGCGAGACAGACCCCTCTTCGACCATTATGTCTTAAAGCTTTAGGATTATGTACAATTTGAGGTCAATTTGGTCTGATTTGGAAGCCGGATTTCCGCAGGTGGATTTTTATTAACGAAACACGGTTTCCCGATTCAGACAGAATTGGAGATTTTTTCACAATTCTGTGCAGTCTTAAAATTGAAGACAATTTTATGGTGAGATTTAGGCTTCGGATGGAGAGATAAATCGCTTCCTGTGGTTAGAAGGAGCCTGGAGGATAGTCCCCACAGCGAGTTCAGCTCTGGGAGGGGGAGGGGGGTTTGGGTGGGGAGGAGGTGTATAACTTGCAGGACGTTATGAGTGTGATATGGCCTCGGGAGGGGTTTGTGTTCATTAACGCAACGAGTGTTTAAGTGCATTACATAGTCACTTCCACGTCACTTGTTTCATTTCAGCTCTTATAAATGTGTCGAGAGCTCAGTACAGTATTAATGACTGTTGTGGATTTACAAAACATAAAAGGAAACAAAAATAAAGCGTCTCCGCCAACGTGTAAGTGTGCACACTGCTTTAGCATGTACATATACAGCTCAGCCCAGCGCCCCACAGCCAGGCTGTATTAATGTGTGTACAGTACAACCCCTTACCCAGCTAGAGAGAGAGAGAGAGAGAGATAGATGCACACAATCGCATGCTACAGGTTAGAGAGACGTCGCTCCCTTCAGTTTAGTGAGCGCCCAGTCACCCTGTATTCTGGTCGTCTCTCAAACATGCAATGTGTTTTTTTTTAAAAAAAAGCAAAAAAAAAGAAACTTTTATTTTACTCGCTGCACAAGGCCGAATAATTCTACGTTAGTCTTTAGTCAAGAAGCGATTTTAAGCTCGAATAATTTATTTTGTGTCAGTTTTCACGAGGACCCAGGAAGGACGAGCTCTGAGCTTCCAGGGGTTACTTAGTGGTGAGAGAGCACTGCTCGTGAGTGCCCGTTGTGTGGACTGGGAATACATCACAGTCTGTGTGTGTGTGTGTGTGTGCTGCCCTCTGAGAGGTTACTTTAAAATCAGTTCTGTCTGTTTGTGTGTGTACGTGTGTTTTCTTTCTTACGGAGACTGTTTCATTTTGGTCTGTGGGTGAGCAGCGGACACCTTGAATCCTCTATGATGTGTGTGTGTGTTTTATTTTGTACCTTACCCTATCCACTGCCTGGTCTGGCCTGGCCTGTGAGAGATGGAGACAGCAGCTGCTGACAATCTGTGTCTGGTTTTGTTTGTTTTGTGTCATATTAAAATAATCTAAATGATCCCACCTCGCCAGGAGTCTTCATTTCTCATGTAAGAGGAAGCGGTGAGCAGGAGGCCTTTTTTTTTAACTAATAAACCTGCCATTTGATACGGTGCCTTATCACGTCACGGGGACATATCAAAGCATTTCATGGGATTTGATTGTGAAGCGTCGTGACTGTGCATTTTGTAGGAAAACACGGCAGCAAATTTGCACACAGAGTCGTCCCACAACCAGCCGTGCAGTGAATGACCAATTTTATCTGGGAGGAGAGGGAGGAGGAGGATCGTCAGCCAGGATACCTGGAGAAACTCCTTTCTCTTTTCAAATAGAGTCACATCATCTTTAACGTCCACCTGACCGGGTACAGGTGGGAGCTTGATTTAGCATCTGAAGGACGGCACCTCCCACAAAGCAAGGAATAAGGAAAATATCAGCAGAGTGAAGCAGTAATGACACATTACTCCACTGGTGTTAAAACTCTTACCTATTTCTCTCTTCAAGGCAGCTTCCCACAGGTGCTGACATCTATACATCTCTCTGTAGGTTTCTATCCATTTTTGTTGGAGATTGGTGCTTTTATTGGCTACACAAACCCACACTGGCTACTTCCTCGCTACTAAAGGGAGGAGATACTAACACTTTATTCCAGTCTTCACTGTAGACACAGTTCAAGGATTCACAAGATAAGAATTCTAGGATGGACCAGGTGAAACAAGCAACTACAAAGGGGTTTGTGAAAGGAACTAGACAGGTTGGGATCTGGGTTTATTACACTCAGAGTCAGAGGCACGAGTCATCATGTTGGAAATTGAATGGGAGATTAATGGTCTACTCTGGCCTGAGCTTATGACCATATTACACTGAAGGCTGTGCCCTAAAAAACATCCCAAACCTCTACTCCTGCCCACTGCCCACTCCCATTCACTAACTGCTCAACGCAAACACGTTTTCTAATCCGTTAACAGATAATGAGTGTCAGCGGCTTGCACAATAATAATAATAATAATCCTTGCATTTGACACAACGCCTCATCACATCTTCGAGACGTCCCAACGCACTTCACAAAACATACTGTAAAGTGAATTGACTGTATATTTTGTGGGAGATACATTGCCACCATGTGGAGGTTAGTGCTGAGACAGCTGCAGCAATACTGAAGCTGACGGGAGGCAGCTGGAGTGTATTGTGATGTTTTTGGTGAGGATGGGTTATGACAGTCCCCCCAAGGACAAGATTCTCGGCAGAGCGGATTCACGAGAGGCTCTGACTATCACAAACTGACCCAAACTGTGTGCGATGTAATGGCAGAGAACAGCTCAATGTGTCCACTGCCATCACTGATGCTCCTCACACCACCACCTGCTCAGCACCAGCAGCCCTGACCTCAGCGATTGCAAAGAGCAATTCTTGGTTTGCCAGCCAGCAATAATCTACATCGTCAGACACATAGCCTTTTGCAAGAACAACAGCAGCAGCAACCGAACTGATTGAATAGGAGACTGGTCTCTATGGAAACACGAGATTGGTCTCTATGGTAACACAGGAAGATGGTCGCTGGGATCACAGGCTTCCGGTCTCTATGTTATAGCGCTATATTCTGGCTTTGAAACAGGAAAGACATCTCAGGACAGGGCTGTACAGAACATGGACCTTCCACCATTCAGCGCCCACTTTCCTGGGTGTCCCATTACCTACTGAGGCTGAGAAGCTCAGTGGACCTCACGTCAAAGCTCTCAGCC